TTATTTTTGTTGTTGTTCTTTTTTGTTTAGTACAAGAGACCTTGTTTCTTATACTAGTTTTTCCAAAAAATAATAATCTAGCCTTGAGTTGTTTAGAAATTCGTTGCAAAATATAGATCAGCAGAAAGAGTTTTGATTGATTGGAATAAATCATGACTATTGATTAAGTTAGTTATATAATACATATATTACTATTATCATAATTTTTGAGACATCTGCTTATTACCCAAAATCTTTTTAGTTATTTGGTAAATTACCTAACTCTCTAAAAATTACATCACTGTCTTCAAACTAAATATTTAAAGACAGCAATACAGTTAATTTACTAAATAACCAAAAAGATTTCAAATAATGAGCCAGTATTTTAGAAATTATAATAATAGCTATAATATGTAAATATATATAACTTCTTTGATCTATAAGTATTTGATATCTAATTAATTATAAATATTTAAGTATCAAATTTTTGTTTGATTGTGTTGCATACTAATTAGATCTGTAGTTGTAATAAATTAAGAGTTTATCTTGCACAAAACCAGTTTCAAAAATGGCACAAAATTCTTAACCAAGTCAATTGGCAAGCTATCTGGTTCTATATTAATAACAATCAAAAAATCTCAAACTTTTCACACAGCTTTCAGTCCTCTACTCTCAAGTCCTTTAGAATCAAAATTCTACTAGATGATCTTTCTACTCCATATATCTTATACAAACGATACTATTCATACTCATCTATCTGCTACCAATGTCATCAAATCAGTTATCACCTTCACTGAACAACTTGTCCATCTTATCAACTACTTGACAGTCTTATAGATATCTCACTACAACATACCTTCAATACCAACACACTTGACACTATACCAAATACTATAATCAATTTACATAACCAAATTAAACTACTAAGTAGTATGACTACTCACAGTATATCAGATGAACCTTCAATCTTTTCAACTCTAATAGGTCTAATACCGAATGAACTTATCAAGATTATCACAAGTTTGTCATTCAAAAAAGTAACTACAACACTTGTTATCAAGTTTTTGCTTCATCTTAATCAACAAATTTATCACAAAATCTGGATTCCTTACTGCATTTCAAGATCTACAGCTCAAACCCCTGAACACAACTTATTATTAAACTCTGTCTCACCCCATTAGATTATTTTTCACTTAACTCTATTCGTTCAAAAATAAATTTCTGGTATATCCAATAGATCAAATATCAAACTAATCCCATACACATAATTACTAATACTCAAATCTAGGTGGGCCTTGGCCACTCCAGTTGGTTTAGGTCACAGATAAATTAGTCTGAGCTTCTATTCTTTCTATAATATTTTAAAAGCAGAATTATACTTTATGTAAAATCTCAATTAAATATTCAATAAAGATAGAGGCATGGTCTTACTATTAATATTAAAAAAAAAAAAAAAAAAAAAAAAAAAGTTTATCTTTTTGGTAACCAAAATAATTATGGCTACCAAAAATAATTATAGTTGCTAAAAATAATTACAATAGCTGAAATAATTATAGCAATTGAAAATAATTTCAGTAGCCAAAAATAATTTTGATTACCATAATTATTTCTGCATTTAGGTATTTTGAAGAGGCTGTCAAAAATATTAAAAATATCATAATACTGTAATATTATAAATTGTTCTAAATTTAGATATATATATATAGCTATATCAGATTAACATACTATAAATTTCAGATATATCAATAACTTATCAAAAAATTAACAAGTTATAAAACTCAAAAAATCTTGTCAGACCACCATCCTATAATAGAGTTACCAATCTGATGCTACTTTCTTGTAGAAAATGAAAAAAAAATTTATTAACATTAATATTAAAAAAAGGAAAAGAAAAAAACAAATAGAAAAGAGCACTAAAAAATACTAATACAAAGAGAAAAAAGAAAAAAAAAATAATCTGATAGTAACAATTATAAACCTGTGTTGGGCTTTTAAAAAATTACATATTACAAAATAAAGAAGCTTTGTATCTAACTCT